GGCCTTTCAGCTTTGCTGAAATCCTAATACCAGGTGTGCAATTAATTACAATAACAGGTTTTTGTTATTCATCTTATATGATAACGTGATTGACATATGGTCCAGCTTTGGAAATGGAGAGTCAGTCTTAAATTCAAAGTATCAAAATAATAAAAGTTAATGATAGAAAAACCTTGATGTGTCCCTACAGAAGTTTATCCTGCAGTATGGGCTGCAAAGAGGTGCAAGAGGAAGCTTTTTCTGCAGCTCTGGGCTGCACAAATGTACAGAGAGTCAGAGTCAGTCAGAGTCAGAGTTTCTTTATTGTCATTCGCACCTCATGTGGTACATGTGGTGGAGCGAAATTATGTACACGGGGTCCCAGTTACATCCAACAATAAAATGTATAAGAAAAACAGTAATAACATCTAAGATATGAACTAAGAAAAACATCAACTAAATATACACTAAGCACTCATAACATAAAACATTGAACATCAGCACAAACATGAACATGAGTCTGTGAGCAGATGTGCACGCATGAACACATCAACATTGAAACAGATCAGCAGCAACATGAAACAGATCAGCAGCAACATGATATGGTTTTTCACAGTGATTATTCTAGTTAGAGATTCATGAGTCTAACAGCCTCAGGGTAGAAGCTGTTCCTCAGTCTAGTGGTTCTACACTTAATGCTCCTTAACCTCCTTCCTGAGGGGAGTGGGGCAAAAAGTGTGTGTGCTGGGTGGGTGGGGTCCTTCATGATGCAGGTGGCCCTCTTCCTGCATCTGGAGGTGTAGATGTCTGTGATGGAGGGAGACTGATTCCAACAGATTTCTGTGCAGCCTTCACCACTCTCTGCAAAGCATTTCTTTATGCAGCTGTCAGCCTCCATGCCATACGTTGATGCTCGAGCACAGGATGCTCTCCACTGCACACCTGTAGAAGGAGTTGAGGACTGAGCTTCCCAGACCAGCTCGCCTCAGCCGTCTGAGGAAGTAGAGTCTCTGATGAGCTTTCTTGATCAGGCTGGTGGTGTGTTTGCTCCAGCTGAGGTTGTCATTCATGTGTACACCCAAGTACTTGTAGCTGGAGACCACTTCCACCCATATCCTCTTATGTTCAGGGGGGTGTAG